CTTTAAACGGGAACTTGCGGCAAAGTCTTAAAAATACGATAATTGCACCTGGAATGAACATATCACTTTAGAAAAAGTTGTTTCATTTACTTAAAGAAACACATCATGTGACCTTTAGCATTTTTTAGCTGCACAGTATTTTAGAAACATGGTACAGCCAAATACTAAATTAAATAACCTCCCATATCTTATCTATCTATTCAATTACTAAAATTCCAGTCACCTTTGGCACCAGTGAGAGATAGGCATGAATGCTGCAGTTACTGTGAAATGGTTTGAGTCCTTTTTTCATGCAGCTGAAATTTGATTTTATTTTTTGTAGTAGCATATGTAAAGCAGGGTTGACAGAAACATAGATACAAGGGAGAAAAGAGGTTCTCAGTTAACAGTCCATTGGAAACCAGAGGCCAAAACAAGGAGAAAGAAAAACCAGAGATGATGATTCCAGGTGAGAAGGAGATAATATGGGATTGTAAAGAAAGCTGTCACATGAAGAGTGTTGTCGAAACTGTGAAACAGAACTTAACTGTGTTGGGATTTGTCATGGACTTTGCAGATGTGCCTTAGTGGCACATAGACCTTGGGAGATACTTCATTTCAGGGCTGGAGAACTTTGTGTGGAGCAGTCACTTGCCCCTTCTCCTTCCGTCTTCTGGAAGGGGGAATGTTTGTGGTGTTGGTTTTCCTCTTCAGAAACAATGAAATTTTGTGTCAAAACAAGAAATTTCTGTAGTTGTTTTGTACCATCACCTTTCTACTGTCTCTAGAAAAAAAAAAAGTTGTTTCAAAGTTACAGTCCCAAAACTGGAAAAAAAAGGTTTTATTTGCACAGTTCTTACTACACAGAAGTTGCTGCAGGAGTGTCTCACATAAGCCACCATAAATGTGGCAGTGAGAGGGGCACATGAAAGTGGAGGAGATTGAAACCAGACTGACTTTTACCCTAGGCCTCTTCTAGAGCTCTTCATTTTCCATATCTGCATTTGGTCTTCCCAGTGCCCTGACTCATAGGCCAAAACAAAGCTCAAGTCCTGGAGTAACTGGCAGTGGTGGTAAAACACAAGTCAAAAGCCACTTTCCAAAACAAACTGCAGTGTGCATGCAAGCTCGTGCCTGTGGTCAGATGCTAGTGTAAGCAGGAGGCAAACCTGCTGGCTTTAGCACAGCATACATTGCAGTGATCGAAGTTTAGTATCTCACTTTTGTCAGGCAAAGGTGAGATGAAAAAGACAGCTAGTTATTGTTCAAATAGTAACCTTAATACTACTGGGAGTAAAACTGTGTTTTGTCTTGGGGTTGGGATTCCAGTCCCATGGGTTTTATCAGTCTTTAGTGAGTATGGCCCTGGAAAAATGCTCTTAATCTTGTGAAATTTCTGGGTCTCTGTTGGGAAGGAGATGGCTAGAGCACCACTGTCCTGGTGACTTGAGGGAAAGGTTAATAAAGTACCAAGGGTCCTGTCTTCAAGGTAGGTTTGTCAGCCAAAGACATAGCAGAGGAGAGGAGCTAGAAAGTACATATCCAGCTTTCTAGGTTAATTTGTTTAAAGGATGTTGTGCCCAAGTGGCAGAGGAAGGATTCTGTTAAAACCTGGTAAATATGGAAGCTAAGCTGAGATGCTGTTTTCTAGTGTGAATCTCTAGCGCTGGAACAAGAGTGGAAATGAAACAGGGGTTGTGACAGTGGGACTAAGAGAGCTGCTTGGCCATGCAGTCCCTGTGCTGGATTTAAACATGCTATGTATCACAGTCGTCATTCTTTTTTTCTTGTGCCCAAAGATCAAGAAGCAGAGGTAAACAAACCAGAGCAACACTAGCCATTAGAAGCCCAAGATGGAGAGATGATATCTGGAGCTGAACTATATTAAATGTTCTCTCCTTCTTCATACACTCGGTTTATGTTATATGCAACAAGGACAACTGGAAGTTTTCCCTTCCTCAGTCTGATTGCTGCTTGTAACCTCGGCGGGTCCCATTTGGTCTCCCTCAAAAAAAAAAATTGATAGGCCCTGTTGTATATACTCCTCTCACCAGAGGGCAATGAAGTCAAGCCTGTTAGTATAGGACCGTCCAGCATCACATAAGCGATGCTCCCTGTGTTCTGAAACCCAAAGAGCACCACCTGACTTGGCAACAGTATTTGAATAGAAAGGTGGCACTGGGTCAGGGTGACTCCAACACAACAGGTGGCACACAGATAAGCAGGCTGCCCCAATTGTCCCAAACCAGCATGGGATACTAGTGGGAGGACTTGGCAACAGTCACTGCAGGAATAACTGGCATTCACACCTAGTTTGTGGTGCAAACTGCGTCTCAGTAAATTGGCTTCCAAAGTGGCTTTAATAGCCTGCATTAATAAGCCAGATGCATTGCAAAAACAGTGGGGTTTGGATGCAAGACACTTCCATTTCAAGCAATTGAATTCCACCTGCAGCACAGTTCAAGTGCAGAAAAGCTGTGAGGGACAGAAGGCCTGCAGGAAGCCAAATGGGAAGAGAGTTGAGCATGAGCTGCTGCTTGTCCTTGGAGGATTTTAAAGAGATCTGATGTAAACTTACTGAATCAAAATTGAATGGGAGAGGCTAACCAATGCAAAGAACTGCATTTGTAATGTCTTCATTTTTCTGTTACTTTTCCATATTCTCTGTAGAGCACTGCTTTGCATCTCACAGCAGTAAGCTGCTCGGCCAAAGACTGTCATTTTGTATTCCAGTCTGACCCAGTATTTTGCAGAGTGCCAAACAACTACAGTGTGGATGCCTCAACCCTTCCCCCAGCCCAAACACACAGAGGAGCATCTATGCAAAGCCTTACAAAGCCTTTCAAATGTCCTGCAAGTGGGACAAAGATAGGAGGAAATGAGATCGCTTCTCAGATTTCAAGAGTCCATTTAAAAATTATACTGTGTGGGTGAACTGGGGTTCTCACCAGCAGGCTTTGGGAAATGAAACTTTTGCTTTTGTGTACTAGCTTGACTTTGATTCAGGAGGCCCATCACAACTACTATTTAACATCTGACTTGAAGACCCTTGGAGGAGAGCGTGAGTGGAGGGTGTTTCCAGGGAGAGTGACTTTCTGTGAAGCTTTGTGGCCGGGTTGCAGCTAAATCTGAGTCTGTTCAAACCGGTGGTCTTATTTCTGATCAGAGCAGGCTGAGGGCAGGACAGGCTATGGAGGATCAGCTCCCACTCCCTCCAGGAGCAACTGAGTGGTATGTCAACTTACAGCTCTTGCTCATACCTGTGCTGTGGTGAAGGATTTCAGCCTCCAAAGCTATTGATCCGTCACCATGCACGAGCACAGAAAGTGTATTTTCTGCAAAAGCATGACCTGGGAAGATGGTGACTTGGCCAGGCCAAGCTGGGGTGCACCCACTGTGCCTTCCCTACTTGCCACTTGATAAATACCCCGCTCCTTCCCCCACCCTCCTGCCCATTTTCCACAGCCGAGAGCAGACACAAGGGGACCCTTTCATCTTGGCACATCCCCTTGCTGATTAATGTGATGCAATGTTCCCACAACACCACCACTATGCCGGCCATGTAATTAGGTGGGAGATAATGAATGCTTCAGAGACTATTCAGGCAACAGTGCCCACCTCCCTGCTGAACAAACTCCTTTCTCAGCAGTGAAGCCAAGTGGAAGGAGCGGCAGCAGAATTGCCATTGGTGCTGAGCTTAATTGTGCAGGAACGGGGGCTCTTGCAGCAGAAAATAGAGTAAGGGCCCGTGTGGGAGAGATGGGGAAGTGGGTCTACTCTGGTGTCTTGGGGCCAAACTTTTTTTTTGTGTCTTTTCATGTGTTTGACCTTGTGGCAGGAGAAGCCTTAAATGTGCACATCTCTGGTTTTGTATGTGTGTGCCTTTTTTGTTTCAAATCATTAGGGAAAGCCATCATTTAATAAGCATAAGAGTCTGTCTTCTCAGTAACCCAGAGGCAAAGATGCTGGTGCTACTTAGTGGCCTTTGAAATGTGGGAAACACACTGGGAACACAATAGGCTTATTCTCTTTTAGGGGGCTTTACAGTTAAGCTGCCATTGTCTGGCTAACATTAGCAAGAAAGATATTCCCCTTTCTCCCCGACCTCTATGTAGACTCTGAGAAAACAACCAATTGGTTTAAAATGCACTATCCAACCAAATGCCTTCAGATCATGCGAGAATAAAGCCAGCAAGGAGCTGAAAGTCTGTCTCATCAGCTGGAAGCCAATGAATCTACTGTCAAAGGTCTTAGCAGAAATTAAGTCCTCTGCTCAAATTGCTTTCTGCACTTTTTTATTATTTGTTTGTTTATGCAAAATCTTTTTAGAACTCATACCTGACCATACTACCTACTAAATGTAAGCAATGCAACCTACTGTAAGCAACTGGTAAAACTCATCATAAATTGACTTCAGTAGTTATAAAAATAGATGAGTAACTGAAGTTTTGTGCTCAGTGCAAATATGCAGAAAGTTGTTGCTGATAGTGATGAAGGAGGGAAGCTCAGTTAGTGTGTGGATTAGGTTAATTTCTGAGCAAAAGGTCACTGGAGGGTGGAGTACATCGGAAAGAGCAACTTACAAGTTATAAAATAGAACGGTTCATATGTACACTCACATTTAAGCCTGCTTCACTCCAACAAGCTCTAAAGCCATAATGTGCCCTTTTGTAAATAAGTACATTCCCAGGCAGACCCACTGATCACCCTACTGAATTAAGTGACAGGGTCTTTTGTGCATCCCTTCTTGAATGACAGATAGATGCAAGTTATATTCTATTGCTTAAACCCATTTTCTAATCAAGTTTATATATAATGTGCTGCATGTCATTGCTGCACATTTTGACTCTGCATAAGATCATACACAGAAAATTCTTAAGCTTTCCTAGTATCTGCAGTGTCAAGAAAACAGATTTCACTGAGAATCTTCTTATGTTGCAAAGCAATAGTAGAGTTGTGACAGAAAAGGAAAATTCTGGCAGGGCGAACAGCTTTTACAAAAGAAAATCAGTTCCACTGACCTCTTTACAGAGCTGCCCAGTGGTGTGCATAGTCATGTGCCTCCATGTCATACAAACACACTGCACTCATTTATGCCATG